AATATTTCATATTTCATTATTATTGAAAGGTTCGTGGGTAGAACAGAATAATAATAAATTAATAATATCAAAACATCAGTATCATCAAATTTAACTACAAGCTTTCCATTTATATTTGCCGATAACATATAAAAAATATAATTCTGGTTTCAGCTTCTTTGAGTTCTTTGTGATAATGTGATTGCAATGAAGATTTGTAATGAATTTGTATGTATATTTGGGATGAATCAAAACCACACAAAATACACAATTTTCTACAAAAATCATTATAACAATCCTTGAATCCCTATTCAAATAAAAATACTACAAGAATATTGAATAATAATATTCTTAAATTATTAATAGTCTAGCCATTGGATAGACGCCGGGGTGCGGGGTAGAGCGATAGTCGCCGTCCAGTACGCTGCCGCGGCACGCGTTTTTCTACGTTCAAAAGTCGCCACAGGGTTTATTTTAGAAAATAGACCCAACATGAATCGAGACCAAATGAAGCTTATTAAATTGCGCAGTTTTTGGTTGAACAAAAAGTAGAATAATACCTTGCATAAGGAAGTTACGGCAAGGTAAGATTTAAAAAATATAAGCGATTTGTTGCTTTTTTTTTTTGATATTGCTGTTTTTCTCAACTTGTTGACTGCATTTTTGAAATTGTTCATACACCAAAAGAAAGAAAATTGAATGAGGAATCGAACTAAAAAAAAAACTTGTTTCTGTCTTGCTTTGAACAAAAGTTATGCGGGTTCGAATTTAAAAAAACTATATCCATTATTTATCCAGTTTTTTCCCTATATCTTTCATCTGGACCAATGGAGAGTGTCGTCAATTTCCATATCCTATGTAAAAAAACATGCTCTTTCAGATGGTAAAGGTCTCATTTGGTTGGAAGTCACTTTTTTTAACTCGAAAACTAGAAGGCTTTCGGCGCTCCATCCGACGAACTATATGGGAATATCATCAGTGAGGATGATCGTAGGCTCAGCATATGGGGTAACTCCTGTATTTTCATCGAACAAATCCTTGTTATCTCCCAACAGCGATTTCAATGTCCCTTCTTTAATATTGGAAAGAGTTGGCAACGATAAATCATTCCCGTCAGCTACAACAGACAAAACAGCGTTGGAATCAATAACTTCATCCTGTAATGGCAAGGAATTACTTGGGTCATCATTGAAATAGTATATCTTCTTAGGTATGTTGAGCACTATATCGAATTGTGATATGAAATTAACACCAAATAAAGTCTTACTGTCTTTGTAGTCTGGAACAGCAATCGTTTGCAGTTTTCTTTGTTTATTCATAACTTCAATGGAACACTGGTACATCTTTGCTTCAACTTTTCGGGGTATACCATCAGCAAATACCAGTTTTATTGTAGTCCTGAATGGATGCCGAATAGCATTTAACTGGCTTAAAAACTTCGAAACTGCAATATTGCATCTTGCTCCGGAATCCACAAAATCAAAACCTGATTTACTTTGAATGATAATAGGTATCATGGGTAAGACCATCAAACGTTGATAGCAAATTGGAAGGTTCACCGAGATCAGCAGCGAGCATTTTGAGAGATAAAATGGTTGTTGGTGCAGATTTACAGTGAGGACAATGGGAATGAATATATCCTGGATTACCGCAACCATAACATGTTACATTTGTGGAGGACGGGTTACTGGATGAGACTGTTAGGGCAGAAGTAGCGGACAAGGCTTTCTCAGCAGACGAGGCTTTCTCAGTAGACTTGGCTTTGAATTTTCTGCAAACAGCTTGAACATGTCCATATGCTTTGCAAAATGCACACCGGTCCTTGGGCTTTTCTGCAACAGACGTGAAAGTCACTGGAAACTTTGTCGAGGGAGTTTTTCCCTGATTTTATAGTGAAGGAGTCCATAAACCATTTCTAACTTGTGTTCCTCTGGCAGGGGCGTGATTGTTGTCAACTTTCAAAGCAGTGCACGGGCTTGCTTCACGAAGAGATCTGTTGGTTCCGTACTGCCTTGTTCTCGAGAAAACAGCTCTCCATAAATCTGATGTGCTGGTTTGTTAAAGCCAAAAGCATGACGTAGCGCATGTAAAACTTCAGACCATAAGATGTTTGGATTTTTGGTGTCTTGCAACCATACTGCAGCAGCGCCATTTAGTAGCATGGGTAAACCTTTCACAGCGTTATCGTCACTGATGTTCAGAGACTAGACAGTCTTTGTAAATAGTGGTGGCATCAATAAAAGCTTCAGCATCTTAGTCTGGCATTCCAGAAAACCTTGAGCCGCATTCAGAAAAATTGGCAGCTGTACTTTGGTTTGAAGTAGATTGTGGCATATACTGAAACATATCTCTCATACCAAAGAGTAATGTTTGTAATTGTTCACTCGTCAGAACAACAGAGACACCCATTTTATCTTGATTTCTTTAGGACGATCGGAGATTATAAGGCATCAACAGGAAAATCCAGTTTGGAGTAAGCCAAGTGATGGAAATGTAGTGTTGAAAAACAGCCAGCTCGGGTAAATCCTGACAAACAGGCAGCTGTAATGTCGGCACAAAAATGGAGGACAAACTTAGAGACAGGAAACTGTAATGAAGATTGCGAAATTAGGGTGGAGGTTTACTACAAAACCCCAGGCCCCACGCTGGGCGCCAAATATGTAGCGAGTATCGAAGGGAACTCCAACACTATACACTACACATTGTTTTTATTTAACAATTCAACTGGAAAAAATACAAAGTCGGCAAAATAAAAGCAAAATTACTGATAATGAACTTGATCGGTGAAACTGACTGACTGATTGATTGATCGGCAACGGTAGTGGCTATGGTGTCGCAAGTGCAGACGTTACAGCGTTTAAAAAATAGATTTAAATATAGGTTATTCCATTAAAAAAAAAAAATACTTTTTTCGTCACAGCGCTTTAACGAAAAATCTAATTATCGGGTCAATTCTCTGCACATCTGTAAGCAAATCTATAAATTTCTATAAGCATATAGACATTGCAAAACGCATCGATTGGCAAACACCCAATCGGAAATATTTACGATCTTATAAGATATTCTGCAATCTAGAGGAAGTGCAGAATAGGGAACTTGCAAGTGGACTAGAATTTTCCAAATTTGTTTTAAATCGATAGTTTATACTGCATAATATTTATATGATCAGTTTTTATTCAACTGATACCGCCCTTGTTACACAAAAGATAATGCTAAATTTGAAATAAAAAATTTCCCGCCAAAAAAATGCTTCCATGATGGCTACCTTTTTTGACCTCACGATTTTGTAAACAAACCTGTCAATAGGGAACTTGTGTGAAATAAAATTTACAAAAGCAGTCCTTTACAATCCATCCATTGCGACAATTTTCACAAAAAGCAAACTTTAACACACTTGAATAACACAAAAATAGCAACTGCGTCAGCAGGAGTTTCTTTGCTGCGTTTATTGTTTATGAAATCATGACGTCACGAACGCTGTCATATTGAAACCTCGCGTTTTCGCGCCAAAGTTTTTAATTTGAATTTCAATAATTTTTTTTTTCCTACAACGTATAGTTTAAAATGGAAAAAAAGAAAACCATGTAATATCTGATCACTAAAAGTATCTTAAAAAAAAAAAAAAATGAGGTAATATGAAATTTCCCTATTGCAAATTGTCTATAAGCAGCTATAGACTTATAGAAATTTATAGAATTGCTTACAGATGTGCACAGAATCGACCCATAAATTTCGGAAAATGTTCTCAAATTCCCAGAAACATAAATACACCAAATGGCTATCTTGATTTTTTCAAAAATCAGTTTTATAGCGGAAAGGAAGGGGATGTTTACTTTATACTGGATCACCCTGTACATACAGTTCTCACCAACCATAATTTAATAAGTAAACCTACAATATTTATAGAATTTTTAATATCCATTTAGAATAACCCCATCCTTATTCATCAATCACGAATCGGATGAATCAAAAAATTACCAAGAAAAACGAACGTCGATTACTGATACGTCAATTTTATGTACAAATACGAAATTCCTAACCTAATTTTATTTGTGTGTTCAAGAAGCGACTTACGTTTAGTCACTAGAACGACTGGTACTTCCAAATAGGTATTAAAAATTTTATATTCCAGAATTTTCTTTGTTTAAGATCTACCAAATGCTAAAATCGATCCCCAAGATCACTCTCAATAAAACTAATATCCTCCAATTCCAATCATATTGAAAAATCCAAATTAACATTTTTCCGTTTTAAAAAATTCGCATACTAATTTAATTCAATCACGCTCTCTCCCACTGGACAATTTCGGAATAAAGTAAAGAATTTTTATAGAAATATTCTTTTCACTTTGGGCGACACAAAGGCTGGGAGCTTATTAGCATGTTTTTGTTGTTCCCATTCTCCGAAAGGCGCATTTTGAATTTCCGTTTGTCATAAAAAGAATGAGATTATTTAACTTCGAACGGAAAATAATGAACGGGCATGGAGCCGAAAAAAAAAACCTTTCATCTTTATCGAAAACAATACTTATTAAGAAGTACTAAATTTGAATTATCCCTATTTCAAGCCCACAACTGAATTCGCTTGAGAAATTAGGTTATAATAATCCCTGAAGTTTAATGAGCAACTTCAACTTAGTTTTTAATTAGGTTTCGTGCTCAACTGCTATCGTAAAAAAAAATATTTATTTCCATTTTATAATACATAATTAATATAGGAACATGCGATTGCAAATTCATTGTTGTGAAATATGATAAGGTTTGCCTACGCTGCTAATTGTTCCATGACATGCATTTATTTTATAGTAGACAGATGCAAGTTTTTACCCATTTATTTCAATTCAGAGATGAAATATAGCTCAGAAAGATCATTTTCATCCCCCAGATATTTCAAGCTAAACTGAAAATCCTCCCAAATCACCCCGAGGTCATTTTTATATTTTATCTAAAACGTTCTAAAGGACATTTTATCTATATCATCCGGACACAGATGATTTTCGTTATTACAACCGGGCCACTTACGGCCAAAGAGTATTAGGTTCGTTGAATGAGGTTGATTCTTGACCCTGCCCTGCGGACCATTATATAAATGACAAATTGCCAGAGGGCGTGAACACACTTCTTTATAAGTGAAAAAGTAACTCGGAGCCATTGGACGACAAAATTTGTCAATCCTGGAAAATTCACTGGGAGGTTGAGTGGAGAATATGAATTATACTTATAAAAATAAGTGCAGATAATATTTATTTACTATAATTTGAAAATGTATTACCCCTATTATGAAATATTGTCAAGACGGAAATTCTTCACTTTTGGAAAAATAACACGTTGCAATGCCTTTTTTATTGCATCGCGGACACTCTCTAAATTCATTTTTGATCCCAATATTCCCTAATATCTGAGAAACTTCAATTTAAAAATTTCTTTAGTAAAACTTTCTGGTCGAAAATAGTATATTAAAATACAAGTTGCAGAAAGCCACATATTCCCGCACGAATTCGAAATGAGTGCGAGAATAGCCTTCTGCAACGTGAGTTTTATAGATACTATTTTCTCGATTTTGGATTTTATTATTAATTTTTCTAATTTTTTTTTGCGGGCGCTGTTAGTTGGGGACTTTTTTTTCCAAAATATTTTAGTTGGTAACACTTACTTACCAACCAACTGACAGGTGGACTTTAATATTTTAGAAGGTTTGACAATTTTGAAGGTACCAATAGGTATACTTTGAAAATTAAATGTCACTAAAAATCGTTGAAGAATGAGCTTAATTCTTCAACGATTACGTGCGAGAATAATGACATTCTCACACTAAAATCGAGATAAAACTTTCTCCTTTGTTATGAATATGAGCGTTAGTGTGAGAATTTCATACATCCATCAAAACTGACATTCCAATAATAAAGTGGCATGTTTTGATTGTTGATTTGAACCAATCAGAGTGGAATTACGCGATAATTTGCACTAGTGCAAATTATCAATAGTAATATAACTAGTGCAATGGAAATTATTGATAATTTTTGGGAAATTTGCCCGAATGCATTTTTAGTTGAAAAAGAGCACGAGTGCACGTAGTGCACGAGGAGTGCCTTTTTCAGTTTAAAACGCATGAGTGCAAATTTGTCGAAAATTATAAATATATTTCCATTGCACGAGTTGTTGTGAGAGAATTTCATAAATCAAAAATTTGAATTTTTTGTCAAAAAATGTCAAAACACCAGTTTTCGTACCAGTACATGGCAAAAAGCGATTGAGTTGCGGGGTGAAACAAGAACAATTGCCTTAGATATATCTAAAGCATTCGACAAAGTTTGGCATGAAAATCTGCTCAACAAGCTCAAAGCAATGGGATTATCGCCGAAACTTTGCACTTGGTTTGAAAGTTACCTAAAGGACAGATCCATTTATGTTGCACTGGATGGCCAGAACTCCAACTCTTACCAAATAAATGCTGGTGTGCCACAGGGAGCAATCCTTTCGCCAACTCTTTTCCTGATTTACATAAATGACCTCATAGATAAAACAGTAAATCCACTTTATTGCTTTGCAGACGATGGCAATGTAGTCTCCTCACTCATACCACCCACAGGTCTTTCCGCACGTGAATTCCATCATCTTAGACTAACTCAAATATCGCAGATAAATAACGACCTGGAGATAATAGAGGACTGGGGTAACAAAAACCTTGTACAGTTCAACTCGCAGAAAACCCAAGCAGCTCTGTTTTCAAAAAAGACCAGCACCGGTGAGCCAAACATCATGCTATCTGGAAGTGCTGTCACATTACAGAGTCAGTTGAACATCTTGGGGGTTACTGCAGAGACCAACATGTCTTGGCACAGTCACGTGGCAGATATTGCTAAAAGGGCCTCCCAAAAGCTGGGGGTGCTATTTCGTACAAGACATCTGTACACACCAAGCCAATTGCTGACACTCTACAAAGCCCAGATTCGACCAACTATGGAGTACTGCTCACATATATGGAGTGCAGCTCCCAAACATACCTTAATGCTTTTGAATACCGTGCAAAAACGAGCTATCAAGCTGATCAATGACCCCGCACTTACTCGTAACTTGGATGGTCTCGAACATCGCAGATCTGTGGGCGATTTATCTCTCTTCTACAGGTACTATCACGGAAAATGCTCTGAAGAGTTGGCACGTATGATTCCACCGAGAGTAGCACCTACCAGGCGAACCCGTCAAACAGACGGTAACCATGAATTTACTGTCAAACTAGAGGCACCAAGAACCTCATTATATCAGAATTCATATCTCTGGAGAACAGCATCGCTGTGGAATAAACTCCCTGCGACGGTTTTCCCTGCAGGTTACAACCTGAACCGTTTCAAGACCAACATACACCGACATTTCCGCGCACTTGCCGCTTCTCGAGCGTGATAGGACATTTCCTTGCGAGTGCGCATATCCGTAAAAAAAAAAAAAACAAATACTATGCAATTATCTGATAATTTGCACTAGTGCAAATTATCGTGTAATTCCAATCTGATTGGTTCAAATCAACAATCAAAACATGTCAGTTTATTGTTGGAATACCAGTTTTGACAGATGTATGAAATTCTCTCATAAAATACAACTCGTGCAATGGAAATATATCTATAATTTTCGACAAAGCACTCATGCGTTTTTAATTGAAAAATGCATTCGGGCAAACCTCCCAAACATTATCGATAATTTCCATTGCACTCGTTATATTACCATTGATAATTTTATAAATATATTATTGTTTTGTTTCAATTTCAGCTCATAAAAAGGTACCAAAATTACTTTCCAAATGATCCAATTTTCACGAAGAAGAGACTCCGAGAAAACAATGTCGTTCAAAAAACATAAAAATCCAACCTTCGGTAGCATCAATTTTTTTCTGATTGATTCTGTTCGCTGCCAGTATTTTTAAAAAGGAGATATTTATATCCTCTTCTTGACAACGCCTTTCGTCTTACCAAGAAAGAAGTCAATTTGGACGGAGTGATATTAATAAAACTTCCTGCAAAAACTGACGTAAAATAAAAAGAGATTGTGTGACTAACCGCCCGCCTATGTTATTAGAAAAGAGGCGCTGGGGGTAGAATTTTTTTTAACCTCGATAGAAACGACCAGAAGAGGGAAAAGAAATTAGTGTGATTTTCGTATCGAGGGATCCAACCCGTAATAATTATATAGGTTTTTTACGTTATATTTAGGATGACGTCATGGAACCAGCAGAGACAATGTTGTCAATGCCGCTTTTTTTTCTTAAAATTAAAGAAAATGTCATGTTTAAATTCTGTCGAACAAACGGAAAATGGAAGTGCTGTCACTGCTGTCAGCAGATATTTGTTTGTACACTGAAAAAAGAAATCCTCTGAACCAAGAGATTGACATTCAGCCAAAAGATTTTCGGATTTGAATAGGTCAAATGCTAAGTCTCTTGAACCAAATCCCTAATTCTCTTGAAAAAAATCGCGAAGTTTTTCTTATGGAAATGGCCCTTTCTCTTGGTTCAATAGCATTGAATTGAATTGAACTGTCGCAAACCTCCATTTTTGAGTCGAACATATTCTCTCAAAAAGTTAACTCGTTTTAGAGCAATACTTGGCAATTCCATTAGCCCACGTCGTGGATCATCTTTGCTATATTTGAAGCCAATATCTTTCACAATTTTCCATAATGATAAGCAGCCACAAGCAATATCACGTTCAATTAGTTTATCTCGTAAGGTTTGCAAAGTAATATGTGTCTCTGTAATAATGTTAATAAAGATTTATTTGAACACCAACAAAATATAATTCAATTAGCTCTGTGCCATTTGCGCGAGGGAAAAAAGCGCGATACGAAAAACGCGAGGGACAAAAGCGCGATGGAACAAAAACGCGACTGGACAAAAGCGCGAGGAATAAAAACGTGACTGAAATACAGCACGACGGTGTCTATCGGTGCGTTTCTGTTCCGTCGCGCCAACCCAAACTAACCGAGTTATTATCGGTAAGTTTGGAAATGTCTGACTAAAATTGCGAACTAACCGGGTTATTATGAGTAAGTTTGGAAATGTCTGACTGAAATTACAAACTAACCGGGTTTTTATGGGTAAATTTTATAATTACACAGTGTGGTTTTCGTCCAGGAATATGTTAATGAAAAGTCGGTTTTCGGCTTATTTGGACTTTATTTAATGAAATATCTAAATCAACAGCCAACGTTTCGACGCATTCCGCATCATTCTCAAGGCTAGATTATTAAAGCTATGAATCGCATCATTCGGACCGATTCATCAATAACAACAAACAAAAAAGTTCACACACCAAAGAGCGGTACTATTGCTTGCCGTGTAGTACCGAAACATCACGGAACAAGTTACCTAGTTCACACGTTACGAAAAAGTACCGAGTTCTTAGAAGAACTTTTTTAAACTGTATATTCTTGACACTTAATTAGAATTAGGTATACAAAATAGTTAATAATAAATTGACAAAACCAGTGACAACTAAAAATAATGAAATGAATCGACAGGCATTATATGAAAAAGTTTATATTTTTTTAAATATAAATCGTGCATCGTCGCGCGCCATTACCAAACCAAAACTTTTGAAAGTCCCCTACTTTAAATGCGTTAAAAAGTACTTTCAGTTTTTTCAGGTTGGCAGCAGAAATTTACTAAATGTGACGTCATCCTAAATATAACGTAAAAAACCTATAGATTAAGATGAAAATTTCATATATTGTCAAATCTGACATTTCAACAATGAAATACTGGTTTTTTATTGTCAGTTTGGACCAATCAGAATACAATTACCTGATAATTTAGCTGCATCTAAAAAATAGCGATAATTTTAAAATTATCGATAATTTGCACATGTGCTAATTGCTGATAATTTTTTCTCAGGTATTTTTTCACCTTTTCTTTATATTTATGCCAAATGAATTTCAATATATTTTTCAAACGATCTGTTTGAAGGGTGCATTAAAACACGAATTTTTGGAAACATCTACCTATATTTGCAAAAATATTAAAAAGTGCTCTATACAATAATTAATTAATTGTTATTGAAATTATGACAATTAAAAACACAGTTTTCAAATTTAAATACTGCCTTCGAAGAATTATTTTCAGACATTACACTATTTGAAGTTGAAATCGTTTGCGCCGAACTG